ATTTTATTTTTATTCTTGAATGATTTATCATCACTAGAGGTCGGAATTAGGTAGAGTTATTTATTTATGTACTTGCATCGAAATGTTGATATAAATGTGGACCTTCCCGGGATTTCTTTATTTCTTTCTTTCTTTGATGTAAGTTTGGCAACGTCGTGCGTGCAGTAGTTTAAATTGTGTAAAAGTAATTAACTTTTTAATTAATAAATCACGGGATTTTTTCTGCTCTTTAAAATTAATCTCGGGATTTGAGGCATATCCACTTTATTCTTTCGCTGTATGAAATCAGTGTAAGTACATGAATAACTCTACCTAATTCCGACCACTGATCATCACTTATATGGCATAACTCTTTAATTACAACTTAAGTCCTAATCTTCTTTTATAATCTTCTAGTTTGATTATTAATAATTAATATTTAACAATAGTTTTATTTGTTGTTCTTTTCTGAATTATATTGAGTTTGATTGAATTTAATTAAGATTAAAAAAGCCGAATTTAGGCAGAGAAATCTTAATTCTAATTTTTTATTGAATATATAACAAAAATGACTTATACGAGTAAAGTTTTGGAACTTATTCATTGCAAACAATCAAAATTTTACATCTTTATAATATTGGTGTAAATATTTCTCTTGAATAATAATAATTTACTGGTTAAAATAAACCTCTAAGAATATTTTACAATAGAGCTTTCATTTGCAGCGCTCTATTTAATGAATATTACATATTATAAGTTAGGTAGCAATCCAATTTGAGACTGGTAATAAAGGGTCCGGTGTTGTTTGTTGCAAAACTGTTGCGACTCAAATCTGGGTCTACACATACTTTTAACTGGGTGAATGAAACCAGTTTGTGACCGCAAACGAAGTTCAACAACACAGTCAGACACACTTAAATTATTAACTAAGTAAGATATGAAGTTATTTTAAAATTATAGGTATTGTGTTACTTTCTCCCTATTCGATTCCATCCATAGGGAAGGCCTGAGCTCCAGCATTGGGGACACTAATAGGCTGGTGATGATGTGTTATTTTCGATTCTAATTTAACTCATGAAATCAGTAACTAACTGTATTTTAATGTAACTGATAATGGAGTTAAAATCAAAAAAATCCTCTCAAGTGCCAAGTGCCCGAGTCTCAAGTACACGAGATTCCAAACTTTTTGCAACGAGCGAATGCTCTGTTCAATTGAGCTACCTATTCAAAAAGAAGGATACATACTGTATTGTAAAAATTTTATTTGGTGTGATAAATCTACACTATTTGTTTTTTTGTTTACGTTAAAAGCAAAGCGATATAGAAACTATGGAGTTCTTAAATCCCTTTAGGTCTCGACTATGCTAATATTTACGTAATAATCAAATATCAAAAGATTCTCAATTCCTCGCATTTTGCCATATTATTCGAGAAATGTGACAGATTTATTATTTTGTGATCTAGTAACAAAAACTGTGTCAGTATCATAATTACGATACATTAGAATAATTGCCTGCTTGTTTATGCAAGCGCGATCCGCTTACTTTCGCAAGGGCCGATCATAAGATGTGTGAACAAAAATTTACTATCCTGAGCTCCTCCATGCTTCGGAAGGCACGTTAAGCCATTGGTTCCAGGCTGTATATGCAGTCTTTAACGCTTACCATTTCGCACTAGCCTAACCGCCCGTGATCGGTTATGGTCTGATGGCTGATGGCTGAATAATACAGTTATAATAAACATTATGATAAATATATTTCTTCCTTCGTTTACATTAAAACGACGGTGATCGGCATTTCAATGATTCTTGGACTTTTCGAGGACAAACAAAACATGCTGAAATAGTCGTCTACTGGATATCGATGGACTGGTACTTTTTCCACACTTTTCTTATTCACAACTATACACCAATAATATGAATCAAAACTTACTATGGCATAGAGTTTCGACTTCAACAAGTGCTTGTAACAACCTAGACTGAATAAATGATTTTTATTTGATTTAACCATTAGAAAGAGCAACGTGTTTCCCAAATCACGCAGGGAGTTAAAACAATTTTTGCTCACATATTTTAAGACTGACCTCCGTGAACTGAACTCACTAGCCTATCTATACTATAATAAAAACGTAAACGATCGATGTCTGTACATTGAAGATATATGAAAAAAAATGTTATGAGGGACATTAATAAGAGTAATAGAACACGAAACAATGATTTTTAAATTTTTTGTCTGTTTGTCTGTTTGTCGGTTTGTCTGTTTGTCTGTGCGTTTGTGCACGATAATCTCCGAAACGGCTGAACCGATTTAAATGCAGTTTTCACTATTATATTGCGGCATTCTTCCGTTAACATTTAGTGTAAGATTTATTTCAATCGGTTCACAAATAAAAAAGTTATGTCAATTTGAAGTGACGTGGTCGCCTAAATTGATATGAAATATTTACTATTTTATTAAATTTTCGTCTTTGATATATTGATCATCATCATTAACTCTTTGACAGTCAAACTGCAGGGCCTCAGGCCTTTGTTTAATAATTTTTGGTCACCCATCCCGTGAACAACTCTTGCGAAAATTGCTTAGCAATAACGATCGTGCGCAGCGGCGCATATCCGTAGAGCCAGTGAGCTATGGATTAATATTGTATAAATATTGTGTATAAAATGATAATTTGTATGATGACAAATTAAAAAATAAGATTCCAAAATTTCCGAACCAACAACTCCGAAGTAAGTTGACCTCATTTATATATGGCCAATCATTTTAAATAGGGTTCAGCTTATAATGGACATGTGGTATACGAACACGCGAGTAGGAGAACAAGCCGATAGAGCCTTCTGATGATACATTTAAGCCTCGAGTAGTTTACAGTGAACGCATATTTTTATCAGATTAGGTTCACGTCGTCGTCGGGGCCAGCGGAGGTGGTTGGCAGCCGCTCCCGCATTGCACGGTTTCGTTTGTCTGGGAGAGGCACTCGGTTTACCCGAGTCTCTCCAATTTTCCATCTGCAAGGGGACCAATGGTCCAATATTTGAGTGTCCTGGTGACTCGGCCATAGCTTGCCGGTTTTCATTTCCCATGAGAGGGTGTAGAGTACGGGTTTTGGTGGCTAGGTCGCTGGGGACCCACCGGGCAGCTCACTGTTGGGTTCACGGAGGAGAATCGTACTCACCCCTGTTGCTTGCCAGGTAACAGAGACAATGTCAGAAGTTTTTCCACGACGTTAAAAAACTTAGATTCACGTCAACTGAAGTTAAGAACGTAAAGACAACTCGAGTTATATATATGTATTTTTTTCTCTTATTGCAATTTTTTATGTTAATACTTTTTTGTTTTTTTTTAACATACAAATTGCTGTAGATACGTACTTCAAAGTTGGTATTTGCAGTCTTCGCTGGAAACAATGCTTTATTCATTGGTCACAACACTCATATAATATTACGCAAGTCTGAGGGTCGGTTCAGAGTAGCTCGGTGGCGTAGTGAATAAGCGCCATGGCCCGCGATTGTAGTTGTTAAGCAACTTTCGCAAAGGTCGGGCACAGGATGGATGACCCAAAAATATTATCTCAAGCAACTCCAAGCTTCTGAGAGCAAGTAAAGCGATTGCTTGCCCAGTTGTATTTGCAGTCGTTAATTTCCTCCAATCCACATTGGGCCAGCATGGAGGGCAGTGGCCCATCCTCTTTAAACATCCATAAGGAAGGCCTGAGCTCCTGCAGTTGGTGACGTAAAAGGACTGATGATGATGATGATGATGAGAAGGGCCGTTCAAATCTGAGTTCAGTTAAGCACCTCACGGAAGTATATTAGTAGATGATTTCCTTCGACCGTGGAAAGCCGAAATTAAAATATGTATATATTTTTTTTATATTAATAAATAAAACTCCACGTATCTTCCGTCAGACATGTACTGACCGAATTTTATAGACAAAGAAAGAGATCAGACAGAAAGCGCTCGGTCTCGGGAGACACCTGAAAAACGCGAAGCGTATTTAACGGCCCATCGCGAAGCTCATGCACTATAAAGTTGAATCTGAAGTATTTACATACATGCAGTATGGTATGAGTATGAAACTTCTTTTGATAGGGAAATGCGCTTGGTCTTTTAAAGACCTCGCAGTTTACGCAATAGAGATCGAGAAAATAGTTTCGATTATCGCCAACCCGTGTTGACTTCATACTCCACAGGCGTACCGCAGATAAGTTTTCACAGGGTAAAATGAACTGGCTATTTTCCCACGACTTTGCCGCAAAATTATAGTCTATGACATGCGCGTCTGATGTAGCTTCCCGTAGGTCGGAATCGCTCCGCAACTATCGGTCCAGTAGTATTGGAGCAAATTCGATGCAAACAAACAAACAACCAAATCTTTCCTCTTTATAATATTAGTATAGCTTAGGTATAAGGGGTCCGATGGCGTAGTGGGTTAGCGCATTCAGTTTAAATTGCAGTTAAATAAGTAACTCAATACTGCACAACAAGGACATACATGAAAACTTATTTTACATAAATAAGTACAAACGACAAACTCATCGCTAGCCAGCGATTTCTTCCAACCGACCTAGCATTACATGGAAAATAGAACAATAAATAGCCGATTTTGCAGACAAATAATAATAATTTAAAAAGATCAAAAACAAAAGAAGGACCGTTTAAAGGTACGAATAAAATGCTCAGACACAAGCGACAACCAGAGCGCGAGAAACGAGAAAAATATGGAAAAATAACATTCGTAAGGACCGTTTACAGGATGAGTGACCAAAACATTATTATCTTGAGCACTGTGCACAACACTGGCATAATGCACATTAAGCCGTTAGTCCTGGCTGCATTGGCAACGTTAACACCCACCGATCCGCATTAAGCCCGCGTAGTGGGTTATGGCCCATTGATCTTATTCAATTCGTCTGCATTCATTGGAAAAAAATTATTCTACCAAAATACTTCCCACGCAGACGAAGTCGCGGGCACAGCTAGTTTTACAATAAAGTTTAATAGTATTTTAATTGTTTACAGGGTTCGTGCTGGCTATGGCAGTGATCCTGTTGCTACTGGGTATCATATGCGCAGTATTCTTTGGGACATGGGTGCGACTCTTCATAGATCATGTGAGTAAACACTTATTTAGTTATTTGCCAAGGTAATTTGTACAAGTACATCTTCGATAGCATAACGCCATTAGCAATTTTTTGTTTGATAGCTCCATCACGTTGTTGTAGTTTAGCAGTTGGAGTTCATAATATTTACATATGCTTTATTTTTTATGATTTGAAAGGATTCCTTAGATTTAGAATGATTTGTTATTAAAAAAAAAATACACCTAGCTTAAGTGTAAAATATACCATCGTTCGAATATTAGATTTATTCCACAATATTTCCAAAATTTAAGGACTTTATTCACTTTATGGTATCATACAGGTGAAACTGTAATAAGATAATTATATGATGAATCGAAATTTATATATTACTGTTTAAATTAATTTATAATTCAGATAATCTAAGAATAAGTCTACATTAATGCTTACTAATCAAATGCTTCATAATATAAGTAGCTTTATTAAGTAAATATAATTCATTACAATTATTTATTTATTTAAAAAAAAACATAATTACGGATGGTACACTAAGTACTTATATTTCGAAGATTTTTAATTATTTCCTTGTTGTAAACATACCTTCTCTTACAAACATTTGAGAGATGCCAATCATTCTTATCACAGAAGTCTCTTAATTGTATTAAGAAGCGTATCAAAGGCTACTGTTCAATTTAAAAGTTAGTGCACTGTCAGTAAGTAAAATCAACGAAATAAAAACTGAAGTCATTCGGTAACTGAATCTAGAATTAAAGTCTAACGTAGAGTGGACGCTATTGGCACAGCTCAAGTATTGCAAAACTGAGAATTTCCTGACGAAACCATCTACCGATAATGAATCAGAAGTACCTTCGAAACTGACCACAGACGAGGTCAAACGAGTATCTACCATTAGGGCACTAACGTAAAATTAGTTGACGAGATTAAATTTTTCATCTATAATCGTAATTAATGTGAAACTCGAAGTATGACATTAATAGAACTTATTTGAATAGTACATATTTTTCCTGTCGTTACGCCTTCTTTTAGCTGATGATGAGAATGGATGTAAGAAACTGTTTTTTATAGTATTAACATTCATTAGGTATTATATTACATTCTGTATTTCTGTCTAACATATCAGCTTAAATACCTAAGATCATTAATTCTACAAACCTTCTAAGAATAAATTAAAGTAATGTTTAATACTTTTAATGTTGTTCAGTAATTATAAGCGTACAAACCTTAATATTTATAATGTAAAAAAATGTAGATAAATCTACTAAGAACTGAAAATTCTTCTAATAATATAATAATTACTTACTTTTGAATCGTCAAAATATCTTGAACATAAAAATCGAAAGGTTATACAGTTGTCATAGAAGTATTTGTTATTGTTAAAAGAAACTGTATTTATTGCTTAGGTGTGCGATGAAAAACCACGGGCTCGTAATAAAATAACTAAGACTCGTAAATCATTTTCGTAAATTTCATCTCTAGGAAATACAAAAAAAAGTGAAAATCTTTAGGACATATGAACCAATGAAATTATACACACGCTAACAATGAAATTATAAAGCTTACGTTTCTGTCTGTCTGCGTATAATAGAGATGGGGAAGGGTGATTTCAACATTCCCATATTATCTTATTGTTAATCCGTCACTAATCGTACATAACTACAACCGTGAATGTTGCCATAATTTTTAAGAGATGTACCTTGACACGCATTAGGTTACCGTGACTGTTATGCTACTGTGAATCGACAATTAGAACAAAGCCTTTTTTACTGAAAAATAATACTACGATGTTTCAAAAATGCTTGTAATGCCTGTGATTTATTTATGTAAAACTCGTAGAAGGTATCTGAATTGACTAAGTAGGTAGAGTTTATTTAATCACGTATATAAAACCTTTAAGAGCCGACCACCTATTCTATTTATATTGCATACCAAAATCCATCTTAACTCCTTGCTTGATGGTAACTCTTGCTTTATTTGGTGCACTCGTCGGTGACACAGTTTCGGAATATTGCCCAAACATTGGTCAGTCTATATAAAGACTAACAACAAACCTACCATAGATATAGAATTTTAAAGCCACCCCAAATGAGGAATTGGATGGCTTAAAGTGACATTTAGGCTAGTGAACTTAGCTTGACATTACTAACAACAAAGTAAGGTAGTATTATTAATTTTTATCATTTTTGACTTATAAAACTCACTTTGATAATATCTAGCTTTGCTAACCGTGTAGACTAAAACAAGTTCGAATGTACAACTAAGATAGAAATATTTATTAAAGATAGAAAGCTAAAAGCTTTTTTTAAATTTAAGATAAAAACTATTTTTTTCACCACCAATATTATATTCAGTAGTGTAAATTTAAGATAAATGAATATATTTTAACATGATATGTAAGTTGCTTATTAACGTAATAGAGTTAAATGGTATGCGGTTTCATAAACAAATTGTGTTCCAAAATAGACCCTCAAGGTACACTGAACGTGTAATATTTTAAAGAAAGTTTCCCCAAATTTAACTTTATTATGAAATTCGTAATAACAAATTAATTACAAATTACATTTCCCGTTTTGCATTGAACGTTCACTAATCAGTCTCTAAGTGAGCGCAATCAGTATTAATACTATTAAAGCGTTCGCCTTGACCTGGTTTATGTGTGCGCCGAACAGTATCGTGCTCGGAATGTGCCATCGATGCAATCCAATGCTTCCGCAAAACCTGTTATAGTAGAACCATGAATAAGATAAGGTTTCAGTTACAATCTGCATTGGGGAACAACGAATGAATCATTTTGGTTTTAGTAAAGCAAATTATAAAACTCAATTGTTTAAGGACGTTCTAAGGAAGATCTAAAAATACTTCAGCAGGTATGAATACACGAATATCATAATTGGATTTGACAAGATCACATTGCATTAAATACTTTTGGGGTTGACATAAGTAATACTAGCAAAGAAAATGCTGACTGTTATGAATTCGTTTCATAATGAATAGGAACGAATCGATTATCAAGAGATGCGGCTACATCGAATCAATTTTATTACTTAACATTGTACGTAATTCGATTATGAATTCAGTACACGTACACTTTGGTTACCAATTAAAGTACGCTGTATATTTCAGAGGATTTTGTACTTATTAGTTTATTCAACTTATTATTAATGAATGCAGTCCTAGAGTTGCCCTGTTAGCAGGGATGTATCGTGAATTTGTTGGACCCTGTACTAATATTACTCAGGGACCTATTAATCATTGAAGTAATTGTCATTTTGTTTAGATACTGTTTTCCTGATGTAACAGTACCGTATCGTATATTGTTTTTATTGGAGGTTAAGTGCCCTTTGCATCCACGGGGCTCTGGGTTTAAGCCCGTCAAGCCCTAAGGTAAAGTCCGCCCCTGCTTGTTAGTATTTTAGTTAGCGCACTAATTATGCGACTTTAATATATGCGCATATTGGAACTCAAATTAGACCTCCAACCCAATGTCCGTTAGATTCGAAATTTTGCATAGACATGTAAATCAACTGAAAATGCAATATTATGGTGTCAGTATGCTGATATGCTAATGAAATCAGACGGTGGTCATAGGAACTAAGTGATGAATGGCGCAATTGCAATTGTGTTTGAGCTCTATAGATCCGTTTTTATAAGAACAACAACATATTGAGACAAATACCTTGCCATACAGATGCTATGTCAGAAATTAATAGAATGAGACAAACTACAAAGTAAAAATATAATAAATAAAAGCTTGTTTTTAAAAAAACTTTTATCTATTTATAGATATGATGTTATGATTTCTTTTTACTGTTATTATTTTTATAGAACGGTGAAAAATAACATTGAGGTTTGATATTAATGTCGATAAGATACGCATTATATCATTCGCTAATTTGGGTTGTTGTAGTTTCTTCCTTGTTCCTCTTTAAAGAACAATATAATTGAACATTAATAGTCTAAGATATAATATATAGTATCACTGCAGTAATGAGCAAATTGTCTCATATAGATCTATATTTTACAGTCAAATTAGATGATTAGCTTACATTTGCGAACTTCAAGGATAGTTGAAACATTTAAATGTACGCACGGTTGCATGCTATACCCCACGTAAACAGACCTCTGTTAGTAGGGAGGCTCGATACGAAGCGCGGTCGGTACAAGATCAACAATGTATACCCTAAAGTGCAGCTGTGTGTACATTGAAAGAAAAATAAATTTAAAATATACATACTAAAATAGTGCTTCAAATGGTGGCCTCGCCGGTTAAACGCATATCTATGAAGCAAATGTCATTAGCCGTCTTTACTACTCTTGTGAAGTAATATCTCGAACCATTATATGTTGATATTTTTCATTCCAATTAAAAATCTATTTATGGCTTATGTAAAGCATTTTTTTAATATACCTATACAAGATCACTATTGATCTCAATTGAGGCCATTTGATTAAGATGAGGTCGATGTAAGAACTAGTTTATTCAAAGGGTGCCACTCTGTGAAGTAACTATAATTGTTTAGCGTTGTGAAATGGAAAGGTTTGTTGGTTCTATTCTGAATAAATTGGCTTTATCGTCTATACGAATAAGGTGTAAATTTTTTTTTTACTTATTATTTTATTAATGACGACACAACTGTAATATTATTATGACAATAAAGTATATAAAACCCAACACATGACTGATTGATGCGAGTAATTTATTACAAAACTTAATAACCTACAAAAAGCATGACGGTTTGGTATGTAGGTTCTTTATAGAAAGTGAGAAATTTGCTCACTGGCTGTTGACCGTCAATTCGTTCTCGTGAAACTCCATTACTCATGGGAATTTTACGTAATTGTTTCTCCGATTAAACTAATTTGCTCTTAGGGATCAAATTTTAAGAGAATTTTACGTAAATGATTTTTTTGTGTTAATAAAAATCTTCTGTTACGTACCCGAACGCGTTGATATCTAATGTATGGAAAATTTTACTTGATTTCTTTTCTTTTCTACAGAGTATCTGAATCTTATTCTGTGCTATTTACAAAACTATAAAATGGTATCCAATGTCTTAAAAATGTTTATTAATTTTGACTCTCAATAGGTCTAGGCATCCAAAATGCAAATCTTATCTAACATCATCTGCCCAATGATATTCTTAATGCCATAGTCATATTCCCATTGCTAGAGCGCATCCCCTTTTTCATTGCATGAAATATAAGGAGAACTTCGAGGAATTACTTGAAAATATTATTTTCAAATGATTCTTCGAAAACCACTGTCTTCGGATCCCTTGCAAGGTAGATAGAGGAACCGAGAAGCACGGTTCTTACACACGTTTGTTTCCTTGACATTCATAAGCCAAAATCAATAATTTTCAATATCAAAGTGATTTATACACTTATTAATTACTAATCGTTCTTCCGCGACTTCGCCCGCGTAAATTATAGTATGCTGCAGCTTCCAGTTGGTGAAAATAAATTCATAATCGGATCAGTATTTCCGAAGATTATCCCCTACAAACAAACAAAGCTAGAAATTAACCTCTCTTAAAAAAGACACGGAATAACTACAAGAAATAAATACCGTTGATTTTCAGATATGATTTCATATTTTTATTGTCGAGAAAATTTTATAAATTCACTTTTTGGCCCAATAATTTTAACATATGATTAGGTTTTCGTATATTCCATTATCATAGCCAATTAAGGCCTTGCCTTTGGACATGATTATTATCTGATCTATCTGATTCTCAATCATGAATTAAGTTGAACTTATTTTGACAATCTGTTTGCTATCGATTTTTTGGTTTCATTCATCTTAATATATTTTCTTTTTTGGACAGGAGCTGGTGCTACGCCCTGGCTCGATGACGTTCGAGTGGTGGGCGCGGCCCCCGGTGCGACCGTTCGTTCACGTCTACGTATACAACGTGACAAACGCTGACGAGTTCCTAAATAACGGCTCCAAGCCGGTGCTCGACGAGCTTGGGCCTTACGTCTACTTGTGAGTATCGCGCATCGCGCTAACGAAGTTTTACACTAGACTTTTTATTGACACTACTTCTTCTCTATATAACTAAACCTTTAACATCTAGTACTTTTCCTACATTCGCGATTGACTAATTTACACGCCGGTTTTAAAGTATCGTCATCTCTGGAAATTTTGATCTTAGGTCGGGGCAATCAATGTAAGAAATGAACTTCTATTATTACCAGAGTATTGTGTGTGGTCACCGTTGTTTCAGATTTCCGTAATATAAAAGTATTATCAACTCTATTAACTATAATTCATGACTCAAATCTATTCCTACATTATTATATATATGACATTATATCTAACATTTATTTATTTAATATCTAAGTTGATTAAACTCTCGATACATGGCGTAATTAGAGCCGAGATCCGAGCTTTTAGAGGCGTTCTCTATTACGCCGAGATCTCTCCGTTGCCCGTGTCTCTCTTAACTTACAATTTCTGCCTCTGCTTAGAACCAGAGATCTCTTCATTCCCGACTTGAGGTCCCTAACAATCTCGCCGTCCCAAATACTCCAAAATCATCTGCGATCAAAAAAATATTTTTAGATATAGATAGATAGTCTGTGAAAAATAGGTATAATATTGATCAATTTCTCCAAAGTGGGTTAGTCTGTTTTCACGCTTTGCTTCAATTATGACTTCAGATTCTGAATTGGTTATTTAAATTAGTTTATCGACACTAATGTTGTAAGAGATAATGGTCTAGTTATCCAATTCAGATATCAGACTTGTTTTTGGGAAAACAGATATCGAATATCAACCAACCAAAGTAATTAAAAGTAAGTTAATAATCTTTCAACCATTATCTTTAAGAATATCACGTATACGACGTCAATACTCATTTGATTACCTTTGTTCCAATTTCATTTGGGGTCATCACAATACGTTTTATCTTCTTCATCTACACTTCAAAAATAGCTGGCTCGACATTTACCTCTATTTTATAAAAATAAGTATCATTCACGACTGACTGTTCACGACGAGTCTAGTTATGATCTATGAAATTTCCCTTTCGATTTAAAGGGATATATGGGATTATATGCAGTCCTTGAGCTGTCGTCACCTTGTGCTGATTCGGTGCTTTAAGTGTCAAACTGTGTCACCATTGCTTTGTACTACGTGTTTGCTTTCCAGCATCGATAAAATAATTTCTGAAATATAAAATAATCATCAAATCGAGTGAGGCTGACCCAGACACTGGAATTGAAAGACCGCCGAGATCACAGAAAATATATTCCATTTCATTTCTGCTGATTTCCAAGCCAATATCTCTCGTATTTTTCAGTCTGCTTTGCTAGGATTGATGTTGAAAGTATTATAATTAAACAAACAGCCTGACGTTTTCTGAGAAATATATGTCATGACATTAAATTACATTTGTCATTATATTCGATTCTAGTGTCAATTGTTAAATGATTGGGAACATCAATTTGGGGTCACGGACTAAAATCTAATCAATAAACAAACCCAACATTAAAAATTTTCTGGTCTAGATATTATCAATATTCAAATTTTTCCTGTTAGATAGTGAAGCATGGTTTAATTGATTTAAAAAAAGGTGGAAGTTTTCAATTCAACTGAACGCTTTTATTTCTTTATGTATGTTCCTCAATAAATATATTTTTTTCAATGCATTATTGAGGAACGTACATAAAATAGCAAAAGCGTTCAGTTTATCAATTCTGAGCTCACATGTAGAAGGAAATATCTTTATGACGCATGATCGAGATCCTATACTAAGTTTGTTTAATATTTTCAATGAAACGTGCTAAAAAAAACAAGTGGATTTTATAAGCATTTTTTATTAAGAATATTTGTCAGTATAGCATTATGAATGCGAATTTTACATGCACAATACTTATTCATAATTATCTATAGTAATTCATAAAACAATAAATAATACATGAGTAAATGATGGATGATACATATTGTCAAATTTTATGAGCATTTTCCTTAATAAACAGAACTTTGAATTTGAAATGTAGCGCCATCTATAAGACAGTCAAAGTTAACAGTGACGTTGAAGATTGAAACTTAAATCGAAGTATATAAGTGTTATACTTATTAAATATGTTTTCATCTTAACTGCGGCTGTACTTTATAGGTACATTCATCACGTATCTTGTACGTCCTTGACAGTTTCTAACCATAAAATCGTAATAAAATGCAAGTATCATAAATAATTGACTAGATCATCACGCAATGTCGCGTGTTAAATGAAGACTCGAAGACACGGTGGAAAAGAAAATTGTCTTAATATATAGCACAAGTAAATATATACATACCTAATACTTACATGGTTTAGTTATGTTTTAAAGTATACAGATTTAAAGAAAAAGGAAAATAATTGGTTTATTTCAATAATTATTTTGTTAGTTTTATGCGTTACTTGTGTTTCATTGTTTATTTGATTTCACAAAAAAAGGAAGCCTATATCTAAGGATATCTGACAAAAGATGTCGTATCGGTTGTGGAACGTCAGAACTGATTAATCCATTTACAAGTGCCCGGCACGAAAGTAAACCCAATGTGGAATCTACTACTCTTGTATAATCGGGGTAAAAATTCAAAATGTAAAACACTTTTTCTTTAATGAATATTATTTGTAAATTAAATAAAAAAAAACTTAATTAAAGCAAGGGAGATATTATCCATTAAGAACGGAATTTGTAGGTAACTTAGCCTACAAAAGAAAAAGGACACTCGATGTAAAAATCTGTCGCGTGCTAACGCATACTTCCGTGATATTTTCAATGGGTGTTCCGTCAGATTTACACCGAATCTTCGTTACAATTAAAGGATGAAAGGAGAAGTTGTGTAGTCATTAGCTGTTTTCCCGCGACTTTACCTAATGAGTGGGGGAGGCACAAGCCTATGTCTTCGTCTTCGCCCCCGTAAATTATAGCCTATGTCACCCGCGTGTAATGTAGCGACCCGTGAGTAAATATTTTTCATTATGTTATAAGTATTTCATATATAAACAGACAAAGTTAGAAGCTTTACCTTGATAAAACATTAGTATAGATTATTTCTATGTTACTCCTACGAGTTAACACGAAACTTTTGAGTCTATTCTATTTGTCTTCGAACGAAAATTCTTATTTTTTGTTAAAAATAATATCCGTGAATATTATCAGCACATCAGAGACAGTTACTGAATTAACTCAGTGAGTCGGTTTAGCATAATGATGCACTGATACGAATCTCAAAGTTTGCTCTGAATGGATCAATGTATCAGTGCCGCTCACTGACACGAATGAAAGAAAGAATGAACTGAGCCGTAATGAGCGACTGTTCGAAAAGATTCGAGCATAAGTATCGAAAGTCAAGCCTGAACAAAGTATGAAAGAGAATCCATTCGATTTTAAGTGTATTTTCGATTTTAAGTGTATTTTGAAACTTCTTCATATAAAAAATATAAAACGTTCTTGGTACGAGAATCATTTTATAATGTTTTTTAAAAATAAACATGGAATAATTTTTTGAAAACATTAGGTAATTTTTAAATATATTCATGAAACGGTTAAGTACTTGCTCTCTGCTCTTGAATCCTTCTGAGAATCGATGATCTAAATGAAGCATTAATTTATTCAGATCTTTGCACTGATTCAGATGCAATAGATCCAATCTTTAGAAAGATACGTTTTTCGCAGAATAGTGTTCGGAACCTTCCTTCGTTGCACCATAAATTATAGAAAAATGTGTTTCTATGGAGGCGTATTAGCATTTCGAAAAAGTCAGTATCTTTTTAGGAGAAATAAAATAAGCCTTCGGGTGTGATGTTAATTCGTACGAGTAACATTCAAACTCTTTATCTAATTCATCTGACAAATAATGCGGTAGTCTTCTGTTCACTTGACTAATGCTGTCTCATTCTTTTCTTTCAGAGAAGAGTGGGAGAAGGTTAACATCACTGACAATGAGAATGGTACCCTCTCGTTCCACTACAAGCGAACGTACACATTCCAGCCGGATATGAGTTCCGGCCCTGACGACGACGCGGTGGTGGTGCCGAATATACCTATGCTGGTAAGTGGTTATACACTTCTGTGAAGTTGGGTTAGAATGAATGTCGCCATACACAGTTTGTACCCCGGAGTCAAAAACATATTCATGCAAGAACTATGGTTCTACCGTTAAACTTTTATGATTTCATACCCGTAGGGTTAAAACGTTACTCTTTCACTAAGACTCCGCTGTCCGACTGTGTCGCCAGGCTGTATCTCATGAATTCCGATAGCTAGACTGTTGAAATTTTAATAGATAATGTTTTTCTGTTATGAACTATGAAATAAAAAAAATCTCTTTAACCGACTTCAAAAAAGGAGGTCTTGTTTGAACTGTGTGTATGTATGTATGTTTGTGCACGATTATCTCGCCTTTGGCTGAACCGATTTTGATGCGGTTTTCTGCATAATATTTTTCAGACTCAGGAGAAGGTTTAAGGTTCGCACTTTAAAACAGTTTTCAGATAAATATTTTAAGTTTACCTACTATATAAAAAAAAACAATTTCACTAAAAACTATGAAATAAAAACTTTTTTAAAAATAGAACCGACTTCAAACTTGAAAAAGTGAAAAATAATACTTAACTCTGAAGCGACTTATTCAAGATAATGCTATTGAAGGCAGGCGCCTACCATTTTATTAATAACCTACAGAAAACCACCACCCGACTTTCATAGCATTTTTTTTAATAAGTTACTTTTGAGATAAGTATTATTTTTCACTTTTAAAAGTTTTTTATTACTGTTTTGTTTAGTTGTTGCCTTGCATTAATAAAAACTCACAACTAGTTTTTAAATAAAAAAAAAACGTTATTTCACTAAATACTTTTGACCTATAACTATAACTACTTTTGACCGGATGTAATACATTTATATTTGAATTCATTTTATACATTTCTGATCCTTTATAAGTTCCGTGTTCACCTTTTGCTGCTTAAAAAAAGGTTAAAAAAGGGTAAAAAAAAGTCATTATGAAAAGCGGTGTCCAACCTGGCGTCATGTCATTTTACGTATCTTTTCTGTAATGCTATTCTGATAACATCCTCTAACGCAATCACATCATAGAGATTCGATCAAACAAACCTGCTTAGAGACATAAAAAAGTTTTTATTTCATTGAAGCTATTTCGAGGCTCTATTTAACAAAATAGCTTGTAAAAAAATAATTAAAATAATCTGTAAATGATAGCGTTGTTGCAATGAGTACAGCAGTAACACAAGAACAAAATAATTGTGCAGCGGCGAGATTTCTAAACGCCTAGTTTTCAAAAGTGATTCTTAATTACTTGTGCTATTGTTTAGACCGATGTTATATAAATGTTGAAGAGGACTTTAAAAAAAAACAATTTATAAAAGATTTAATGTTGTAATCTTATATATTTAAGTACAATTCGCAGTACTTCGCAGTATATTATATTTGAAGCCTACAAAAGGGTCAAATTTCATTTAATTCATTACTAAGAAACCGTAATCTATAGAAATAAAAATGTATCATGGAATTGTACGCGCATAACTTGTAAATGATTACATAAAAAAAAAATATTTCATACAAAAAATTGCACCGAATTCAATAAAGGAGGTTGTCAATTTGACCTGTATGTATGTTATAGGCGTAATATTCGTATATTTTATAGGTTTTTAGTTCTGAAGCTATTTAGCAATTTGTTTTGTAATAGACGAGATCTAGTATAGGCAATAAAATTTTTTGAAGATACACAACCTCTTTTTTATATTCTCAATCTCTTAAGTCGCAAGCGATCACCTCGCCTCGAGCCACTGCATTTCCTACTTACATGCGCACAACGGAGTATGCAACAAGTACTATATGGCGTTATGGTACAATGATCTTCCATAACAAGCAGTCATGAGTTGATCGACTATAGGAAATAAATACGTACATGAGTAGATACGCATAAAACTAGGGTAATGACATTTTGATTTGGAATTGCCATGTTTCTGCCACTCGCATGACACTCGGGTTATTTGTGCTCTAGGAATAAATTGCGGATTTTCTTTGTTTAACCTTCGACAATATATTATTAGCAGTACTTAACTAAACTCACGAACTATTAGAAAACCAGTATATTTTTACGGGTTGCTTTACGGTACGGGTCTAATGCGACTTATGTTTATACGTTTTTTAATTTTCCTACTTAGAAAGGCATAGAACGTCTCTTACAGCCTGATACAGACTCTTCTGATGTGAAAAGGTAAACCTATACTAATAGATTTAGATAGATAGATTTTCTTTAACTGTTTAATTTTTGAAAACTATTTGTCTCTTGTCTTATTATTTTCTTTTTCATAAAAAATATCGTAAGATCTCTTCACTTCCAGATAGTTAATTGGAAAGGTTTTTTAAATAATTGCTTTTGTCATGCTCTTGTACTCGTAGAGCCTAAAACCATTATTATTGTCCATTCTCACAGTGAAACTCTTTACACCTTAACATACACTCTGTGGTAACTTCAACAATGAATAATGAAGGCTATTATCACAGTTGATGCATTCTAACGGCCAAGATTGCAAAACACATAATGCGGGCAACACACGTCGTGCTACTGATTTTGCAACTGAAGAATTTAGTAAAATGTAGTCTGATACGAAATCGATAGATGGTGTTAAATATAGTTATTTCTTTAGTCACGATGATATATAAATATAATATATATCTTATGATGCCGGAAAATATAATCTTTTGAAAAATATTTTTGAACAAATAACTAATGTTTCATCCATTTTACCGTAGTAATCTATAAAATGCCTTTCCTATAGCATGGCCTTTCGTTTTTAATATCTTGATTATTCAATCAATCAAGCGTTAAGTAGGGATATAGTAGGTATAGTAGGTATAGTAGTCAGTAGACGTCGTCATTATTCGTATATTATGGAACCACTATACCTGAGGCTGGGTGTTTGCAGCGCTAAGTATAGCAGTGTCAAGCTATAGTTGACATGACTTTTGCGGTTCTATAATTGTACGCTTTTTCTTATATTATCTTTCGTTGCAGTACATAGATATCCGATAAAAATAGAATTATTAACAAAAATACAATATACTCTTATTTTTATATTTAAGGAAACAAAGCTATAGGAAATCTATATTCAAAAAAATCTATTCGTGTTTCACTTTTGAATCTGCACGTGTGCAGTCCGCTTTATTTTTAAAAGCACTTTCTATGCAATAGTCGCTCCCCAAGGAAACGTTATGTGACTGCAATATATGAACACTTTCTTATAATGCTGCATGACATAAATTTGTTATAGCTGAGCGTAGATACAAGAGACTCTCCTTATCTACCACATTGCGCCCGTCATTGCATAGAAAGGAACAGAGGATGGTTGATAGATTTTAATTATTTACTCACAAACTACTCGGATATAAAGTAATTAAGATATTTACTAATTTTCCATTTAAAAAAGAGACTATAAATGCAACTAGAAATCGAAAAAAATACATTTTTGGGGTTACGTGTGATTATTTTCTATCAAGAAAATTTTATACATTCAGTTTTGACTGTGATTAAACCTTTTCATTTTCTAATTTTCAATAACAGCATATTTGTACGTTATTTTTGGTATGATAATCACTATCTTATTAATATCCCCACTGCTGGAGATCAGGCCTTCAGCCGGGAATAACAGCTTTACGTGCCTTTCGAAGTACTAAGGAGCTAAATACAATACATTTTTGGTCACACATCCTATAACCGGCCATTATGCAAGTTGCTTAACAGCCGTCTCGCAGACTCTTTTTTTGGTGTAAAACATGTTAGACTGTTATATAAATACAAGACAATGTTAAAAACCGCGCTAGGTTTATAACAAGTGGCAGAATTTAGTGTAGTATCTAATTTAAATCTTTAAAAATAAAAATTGATCAAGTGTGAGTGGAACAACACACGAAGGGTTTAGAAAATGCACCATGATCATGTGTCTCGTGCAACCACCTCTATAGATTAAAAACTTTTTTATTAAGTAGTAGTTTATAACATAACTGTAGTTGTTTTAGTGGCGCCAAGTAGACTAACTAGTTTTAATCCTGTCCGACTGCATTTTCAATTATGTAAGCAACCATGATATTATCTGTATTAATATTAATAAGAGGAAAGGTTTTGCATTGAATTGCCTCTGAATCTAATGGACCGATTTAAAAATTTTAGCTACGGTATAGGCAGGAGACATAGGGTATAATTTACGCGTGTGAAGTCGCGATTAATATCTAGCATATGATACTATAGCAGACAAGTTTAATATTAATATCCCTAAGATAAGACTAAACTTAAATTAAGAATAAAAATGTTTAGTTTACTTTATCAAACGATACCTATAACCGACCTACGAGTATATAGCACCATTCTCCTGTTAATATTATCATATAAGTATTATCAGAATGGCCTTTGGGATACTTGGGGTAAAAACAGAGCTTCTTAAGAAACCTAAGTTATTAAAGCAGAATAAATCTTCTGCTTTAATAACATAGGTTTCTTAAGAGGATTATCAATGGGATAAAACTCGATGTTCATACATCGCATAGTTCTTCAGAAATGTCTATAGAAAATCAAACCGTATCTCTTATAATGATAAAGACAACTTTCTACGAGCTCGAACCTAGAATGGGTGAACGTCCGGTCAAACGTTGGCACAGCATTAAAATACTTACATATATGTGTAGGTAGATAGATATATGCGTGTGTGTCCTGCGTTTAAAGTCACGATCCATTAGTAGTATGTGATGCATCATTCATAAAATAATCTTCATGGCATCCTGTGTACTTTGGTTTAATTTAACTATGTTCACATTTAAATAAAAACGTAGTAGGATACTAAGTTTTGACGGATCATATCAGATAGTGCCACAAAGGATTGGTTTGCTAAAAGTGTATATTTTCTTTTTTCATCTCCTACTCGATAAAGTGCAATTATATGTACCGAAACAATAAAGTAAAACAATTCATTAAACCTTGGAAACGCAAAGCTCCTTCTGTAATATTATAAAAAAAGTTCCTTAGGTAATAAATTA